ATTTTTATAAAGAATATCTCTTTGGATTTGAGACTTTAGTCTTTGCAACTTTACAGATCTTCTTTATGCACCAGGAGCATAACCTGGTGTAACACTCCAAAGAGAAAGGAAAAATTTTAATCGCATCATATGACCCCTTTAAAATTTTGTCCATAGAAACAAGTAGCTAACTTTAGCTATAGCAAACAAATTCACGAGTTCTAGAGCAGCACAACTATTTACAAATTGCTCTTTTCTTCTGTCCTGTAATGACATTCAGTGAGCAATATCTGATAGTATGTATTTTAGTACATACTTAACCAGTTTGCACTGGGCACCAACACAGTTTCTTTCGTTGTTTTTTTTTTCCAGTTGGAACCAACCATGGGCGTTAAGACTCCATCTATGGGTCCAACACGATGTCATATGATTTGCTTGCATCTTGCCAAAAACTGTGATAAGTCTGCAGAAGAAGAAACTCATTTTTCAAAAGTCAAATGATGGCAGATTTTTTATTTTTTGGTGAAATGCAAAGAATATACACAATATATAAAGAAGTTAGTCACAAAAATGCTCATAAACAGATTTTTTAAACATTTTACTTAATTGTCCTCTTTTTCAGAATTTGACGGCCACTCGTCCACTGTAAGATACCAAACCAAAACCCCTGGATTCAGTTCCAAGTCTGTTATCCACAATGGCAACAGAACAATGGCGGTAAGTGTGACCACATTCACTACATTTCCAATTGCATAATTTATTTGAAGCCAATACTAACTGAGCCTGTTTTAGTAAAGCATTAAGCTTTACAATAGACCCTGCGATAACATTTCCGTATAATTTCAAGGTCCAATTTTAAAAGCCCAGACAGGAATCGAATTGTTTACAGAAAGAAATCACATTGTTCATTTCAAACGGCAAGTTCTTGATGTTAGCTTCTGAGTTAAATTCTATAATTTTATATTATTTTGCACTAATAGCACTATTAAAATCAGGTCAGAACAGCCATCCGTGAATAGTTATTTGTTGGATTGATTGCAAAGTCCACAATCCCTTGACAATGACACTCTGTGTGGCTGCACCCTACAAACACAATGATGCGGTATTTTGCGTTCTCCTGTGGGAGCTGTGTTTAGAAAGGGAAGCGGCGTACCAGCAAGCTGCAGAATTGAACTCAGAGCCCAATGTGCATCTGAAACATTCCTAACCCAAGACCTCATGAGCCAAATGGTGGACTGGAGGCCAAGTTATCCCTTCTGTGTGATAGTAGTGAGCCTGCAAGAGCAGTTAGCATGTACTTAATCATGTAATCACTGTATAATTTTGATATTCACTTCCTTTTACTCAGACGCCTCGACTGTCCCAGTGCGCAGGAGAATTTTCCTCTCGCTCTGCAGTAGAAATGGGCACTCAGCAGAGAATCAGTCATGGTGTGCCTGTGCCTGCCGTAGTGGGCCGTCCGTACATGTACCATGATGACGCACATCTGAGTGGCTCTTACAACCAGATGCAAACATCGGAATCAAGGACACTGAGTCGGACTGAGCAGGAGGCAGCAGCAATGGCCGGGCTCACGTTGCAACGGCAGCCATCTCCTGTGGGGAACTGGATGGCGTCCTATAGCCACAGCTCTTCACCCAACGTGGTGCAAAGACAGCACACCCTTAGTGGGACCCTGGCACGAGAGGGTTTCAGTACAGGATGGAGGGAAGCAGAGTTGGCTAATCAATATTCATTTAAAGGCCCTTCCCACCGAACCATCAGCCGCATAAATAATCGTCAGGTGCAGCAGCAGCCACAACAGCAAAGGCAGAGCAGCAGCTCAATGCAGTGGCAGCAGATGTCCACTGGGGGCACCAGTATGATGGGTGCTGGGCATTACCAGGGCACCATGAAGAGAGCGGGGTCTGTGCATAGTATGAAGAGTGTCGGTCGTGGTGTGGATGTTTATGACGGATTGGCCGATGGAACCGCAGATGCTCTTGGCGGGTAATGTAAAATCATCTTTTAACTGATCAGGGCCCATATTCACAAAACATCTTAAGGCTAAAAGTAGCTCGTGTGCGCCACATCTCCAAGTGTAGCTAGTGTAGGTGTGAACTAGTAGGTGTGTTCGACTTGGCGCGAACCGACTGTGCAGACCGATCAGTGTATTACAGTACCATGAGCGCTATAGAGAGCAGACTGCTCCGTGTGCTTTCTAATCGCTCTTGCGGATGTCAAACACTGATCAATCTGCGCCGCACCACTTCTAGTCGAACACACCGGCTAGTGCTGCAGGCTTATTGGCTCACTGACGCTGACGAGATTAACCCCTTAGGTATCGAAATTTGGTACTGAACGACGAGACGTTTTTCGATACTCGATGGTATCGAGGCAATTCGGTCGGTGCCTAAAAAGTATCGAACTCGATACCCAACCCTACTCCTAAGTCACTAAGACCAAGCCACAAACTACCCTAAAATGGCTGTTGCCGGCAATCTGCCTTGGAACGTATACATTTTAGAAATATTTGACGATAATGAGCTTTTATAAAGGCATCATCTTCGGTTTTGAAGGTTATCCCAACTCCAAATTTTCCTTTGATTATTTATTGAATAATACATCACGTGCATAAATTTTAAACTGTATACTAGCATGTGAGTATGTACTACCAGTGACATGTTGGTGTGAACTTTGCATTGTTTACATACAGTACATCTATGACATGGTAGCATTATGGAATCCCTATAATCCCTCTTTAAATATGCCTTAATTATAATTTGTGTGCATTTTAAATAGGGGTGCTCCGATTGATCGGCTACCGAGCGATCACTATCGGCCGATAATCGCTTTGAGATGATTGATCGGCCGTCTCTAAAAAGGCCAATCTCAAAAAAACGATCTCAAGCTGACTCGCGCACTCTCTTTCTCTCTCAAAATGCAAATGGCTTCAAATCACATCGCGTCTGCACTATAAGCGAGCTGCAGGCTACACAGTTGACACATGAATTGTCACTTGCACTATCGAGGCAGTGTCGCATCGTCACTAAAGTTTATACATTTCATTTTTTCTTTTTAATTCTTGCCAGTGTTTAAACCATTCAACGCTCGCATGCTTTCCTGGAGACCGTGCGCTCATGCACACTCACAGCGCACACACATAATGCCAGGTTCACATTACTTTGTTTGCAGTACG